CGTGCAGTGTCCACATCGGTCTATGTCGGTTTGTCCATTTGCATGTGTTGGGTCGTGCTCTCTGCAGTCGGCCAAGTCACTGTGGTGGAGCGATCGACCCCCCCTCAATGCCCACCAGTCATTCACTTGTCGACCTCGAGGCATTCATGTGTTTGTGTTCGTAAGGGGAGAGAGAGAGAGAGAGAGAGAGAGAGAGAGAGAGAGAGAGAGAGAGAGACATGCTGCAATCTGGCTTGTTTCGGATCCTTTTCCCCCTCCTTGTTTCCGCCTTTCTTCTCCTTCTCCTTCTCCTCCTCATCCTTCTCCTCCTCCTCCTTATTCTTGTCCTACTCCTGGAGCGGTCTGTTCTCACTTCGACCATTGTCACTCCCAACGTGGTGCTGAGAAGGTGCTGCTTCCTTGGAGGCCGTTGGTCAGTATTTCACTGGGCTTAAATCACCAGTTCACACGAGTCTAGGTCGGCAATGCTACCTTCGGAGGCTTGCGAGCCTGCAACTGCGCGTTTTCAAAATTGGCTGCTGGTTTCGCTACCGGCCAAGGCCCTAACCAAAATGCTATTGCTGTGTATGTTTTTTCCCTTGTCCAAAAAAAAAAAAAAAATCCCTTTATCTATCTTAGTTATCCTCTTGCTACTGGCCTTGTTCATGTAACTTTGTCAAGACAAAGGCAGACGGGGACCAACCTCCATAGCCAGCATTGATGGTGGAGGTTGGGCACCATAGCTGGTGCGTGCGAAGAGACTTCATCAGCGACTTTGGAGATAGACTCCCATTGCGGAGATGGCAAGTTGGTGGAGGAGCGTCCTGAAAGGAGAAGAGGCGGGGAGGAGAACGGATTCAATTGCATTTCTGATGATTATAATAATAATAATAATAAGAAGAAGAAGAAGAAGAAGAAGACGAAGAAGAAATGCTGGAATGCATAAGGATCACAACCTCTAGTATGTTGTGTCTGAATGGCATGGCTCTCTAAGTCTGGGACATGGCTTGGAACTGAACGGCACGGCTCTCTAAGTCAGTGGGTAATGGCTTGGACTCAGCCAAACGGTTCTGGTAGTGCATATAACAGCAAAAGCATTACGAGCAATCACTAAACATGCTTTCGGTCTCTGTAATCCCCAAAAGAGGACATGCAATCTACAATACAATACATGCGCACTACAATACATGAGCATTCATCACCAACTGACTATGAGTCTACAAAATCATTGCTATCTGCTGAAAGGGGAAAAGAAAAAACCATTGCTGTGTGGATTCTGAGGGGATTGAAGTCCATTGAACAGAAGCAGGCCATCTTCTTTCCAAATGGAAATGGATCGGTATCTGGTATTTTTTGATGTTTCCAAAATCTTCAGCAGTACGGGTACAGGACGGGGAAGTCCTGGTTAAGCCAGCAGTACCATTCCCATATATCGGCCAGGGGCCTGATTTCGCCCTGTGTGACGGCTGGCGCTGCCAGCCATCTCAATTCCCCGCTGAACTTCTGCGTTAACCGCCGCTGTTTTGTTTTTTTTGAAGAAGGGAAAAGTACTGGTGGTGTAACTTTTTTTCAGATGCAACAGGGATGCCGCCTTCCACTCCCTAACAACACACCGCATCCCATGGGACCTTGGCCTCCTGCTTGCTGGGAAAGCACCTCCACCACCTGGCCCAATGTTCCTCCTATGCAGTTAACCTGTTTTCATATACAAAGCTCCATGTCCTGATGCTGGCCTGGCGAGCAAGGTGCTGTTTTGAACGGAAAGATCGCCAATTTGGCTTTCAGCAGGCCCAGCAGGTGCTGGATGAGGTAAGCAGATCCTTCACCCACGAAGCCTGGAAAACCATGAATAGAGTCCACAGGGGGGGGAAAGGAACCACAGACCAGAGCTGCCGTCATCGACTCCTACAACCAAACATGGCAGGTTAGCCCGCAGGCTGTTCACTTGTATCGGGTGCAGAACTGAACATCTAGTGGAAGCCCTGGAAGTCCTCAGGACAGACCTGGATGCGAAGGCCCATGAACGACTTCCACAGCCCATACCTTCCAAACTGACTTCATCCTGCTCCTGCACCCCTCGATGCCCGGTCCGCCGCTCCCCCCCTGCCCCCAACCCCCCCGGCGACTGGCCCCCCTTTCCCTGCCCCCTGCATCCCCTGGCCGTGCCGGAACTGACAAGCTGTGAGCCCAGCAAGGAATGCAAGCAACATGACCAACGTACGGCACAACCCTTCATGGTGCACGGCAGAAAACAACAGCAACTCCGGCCGCGACAAATAGACAGCGCCCGAAGCACAGCTAAGGAGAGGCTGAAAGAAGGACCGCCACTTGAGACACAGGCTTACCCTGGAATATGCCTAGAAGCTGATTCCTTGCCAGCGCTGCTGAGAAGGTTGGGAATGAGATGGATATGTGCTCTGTGGTCTGTGTTGCCGAGCTAAACTCTTATCTCAGGTCTGAAGAATGAAGGGCCTCAAAAGATTTTAGGGGAAAGGGCTCTCAGGGGTTTGTCGCTCGATGGTAGAGGAACAACCTTAAACCACCAGTACCTGGCCCAGCTATCGGCCGCGGGGCTTCCCGTATACGGGCCCGCGCCATTTGGGCTTCGGCCTGCCGGACCGCATTGGCTGGAGGCCGCAGGCAAAACGAAAAAGAAAATTGCGACGGCGGTTCGGCAGGACTTGGTGCGCAGCGTGCTGGGAGGCTCGGATGCAATAGCTGAGCCAGGTACTGGTGGATTAAGGAACTGCAACAGTTTGGTGGAATAGCTTCAGGTGTTTGCAGCTCGGCCGCCTGATTGGTGAACTGTGGAGGCACCCCTGTGGACAACTTCTGTGTGCCTTCTGAAATTTGTAAATGGGGACACTGGGCCCGTGTCCCAGCAGGTGCAGCTCCCCACTAATAGATGGAGCCTCCCTGGGAGTAGCTTCAGATGTCTGATCCTACCAGCCTCTCAAGCTGCTTCTGAGGATTGTTCTGCTCAAAAAAAAAAAAAGGAAAAGAAAAAGAAAAACAGCTCACCAGGAATACAGCTTCTGATTGGTTTTTCTTTTCTTCAAAGAAGTCCAGGTTGTTGTAGAGGCTAGGCACCAGGCACCAGTGTCGGCCGGTCGTATGGAGACGGGCCTCCAGTATGTCTGTAAGTACGGGACCCCCAGCCCCCGCACAGTCCGTACATACGGGCTTTGGTGCCGGAAATGGGGCCCTGAAGGCTTCGAGGGGGTGCGGGTGTAAGGTGGTACCCCCTTCCATTAAAAAACAAAACAAAAAACAAGTGGTTGGGTTGAAAACAATAAAAGCTTGATTAATTGATAGATTGATTGATTGATTGATTGATTGATGATTTATTAGTTGATTGTGCAATGAACCTCTCAGTTCGTCACCAATGAGTGCACACACATGCATACATGCACAAATGAGATCGCATGAAAACACACTAGTACAGAGAGTCGAAGACCAATAGCGCAGCTTAAGAAATTCCAACTAATTAACACATGAGCAATTAAGAGTTCCAGTCACAAGCGCTCATCAGGGCAATGCCAAGTATCCAGTATCCAGCATCATCATCACACAGGTAAGTGACCACTCTCACTGCTTCTCTTCCTTCTTTCCTCTCTTCTGGTCTTCTCTCTGACTGTGTCGTCACTGTCTCTTCTCTTCCTATCTGACTCTCAACGCACACTCTCAACTCGCACTCTCTACTATTCAAGGACCGGCTCGGAATACACCCACTGCTATCTCTACTAACTACCAAGCACTGGGGGAGCTATGGCTCCCTTCCCTCTGCCAGCGCTAGGGCAGCTATGGCTGGTCCCTCTCTCTTTCCCTCTGACAGCGCAGCTCCCTGGCTCAGCGCTCCGCTCCTCACAATAGCGCGCAAGTGCACCAGCACTTCCACACTTCATGCGAATGAGCAATCTGCCTGAATGGGGAGGCTGGCCAGTCCTTCTATTGACTTGAGGTTCAGCTCGTCCCAGCCTCGGCTCCTTGTGGCTTGACTTGGCACGGGTACCACATCCCCACGGCCTGTTTGCGTCAGAATGTCAGGGCCTGGTACCTTTCCCGAATTGTCATTGGTGTGCTGCTGCTTGGGCCTGGGAGTCACGACTCTTCACTTGTGAAACATGACTTTTGACTGCGGGTTGTGACTCTTGTCTCTGGGACACAACGCAACACGTGCTGGGAACCGGGCCCAGCGTCCCATATGGAAATTTACATAGAGTCTCGAAAATTTGAGATACCGGGCCCATTACCCGGCTTTGGCTAAGGAAAAATTGAGCTACTTAGAAAATTACTATGACGAAGGTCAGAAATAGGCAAAATTCCGAAAATGACTCACAGGCCCCCCATCAATCCTCCTTACCTCACTCCGGCAAGACTTACTGCAGCAGAGCCACCATCTCCGCCGCTGCTGTACCCAATTCCCATCCTACCTACCAGCTAGCCCCCTCGCTAGTAGGGCGCGTGGATACCCACCATCTCCTTCTCCCACTAACCTCGATTTCCCCTATACTCCACTCGGGCAAGACTTACAGCAGCAGACCCACCATCTCCGCTGCTGCTGTGTGCCCTATTCTCATCCTAAACAATCTTTGAGAATTTGAGCTAAGAACAATCCGAGAACCACTAGAAGAGTTCAGGAGAAATTTAAGAAAACCTTGGATAACTACTGGTTTTGACTAAGAAGTATCTAAGAATTTCAAATAAGACCAGCACCTCTAGCACTGGAGGGGGTTGTCTTGAAAAAACAAACAAACAAACAAACAAACAAACAAATCAAATAAGAACGATCTGAGAACTACGAAAAAATTTCAGAAGAATTTTTAAGAAACCCATGCATAACTGCTGACCTACCGACCTCAAGCCGCAGTAACTAAGCCTTTTAGTTTTTGATGCTGGAAGATTTATTGGTTGGTTGATTTATTGATTGATTGATTGACTTTGATTGATTGTACATTTGTAAAACTGTAAAAAAGAAAGAAAATACACGTGAAGAGGAACTATGTCTTGTTGGTTGTGTT